TTCATGGAAATATACTTTCAACTACAAAAGTACAAAAGTTAATTACATACACACACGTGCCCGCACACGCACATACTAATTATATAAAGCCAAACTCATTATGTAAGCCATCTCAGAACAAGAAAGGGGATATAATGGCAGAAATATAGGCAATTATATTTTTAAAAATTTAAAATACATATTGATTATATTATAAATCAAAATTGACACAAGAGTCAAATTACTATAATAGAAAAATTTTAAGTTGTACTAGAATGACTTCCAGGAAGTTTTCAGGCCTAGCTGTTTTCATGAAAGTTTCTTCAGATTTTTCTAGGGATGTATTCTAGAAAAATTCTTCAGATTTTTCAAGGTATTATTGCAAAACACCATAAAAGAAAGACATTTTCCTAATTCATTTTAAGAGGTTGGCATATTCTTGATCTGAAAACCTGACAAATATAGGATAAAAATAGAAAACTATAAACCGAGCTCACTATTTTAAAGTTGCTGAAATTATAGATAAATCTTAGAAAATTGAATGCAGTAACATAGCAAAATACCATACCCTGATTGTCAACAATTATGCTTGACTCCACACAGTTCACATCCTAAACAAAATCCCATTAGTAGTGCCTCTCATTACTGCAGTGGTTATTAAAGAAGGGGAGTAAAGAGGGAGAGGAAATGGATAGTTTGGAAAAAGAAATGTACTTAACGTGTCAGTCACCAAGAGGAGTCACTGTCCCATGAGCCCCAGGAAATAAAGATTTAAAAATGATTCTATTTTCCTCTCTGTTCTTTTCTGAACTTCCTCAATGCTTTGAAATACACATATTTCATTTATAATTTTAAAAAATTAATTAGAAATACTTAGGAAGAAAAAAATAGCAAACAAACAAAAACCAACAGCCACAACATCAAACAAAAACAACATCATAAGTGTTTCCATGCAGGGATGGGACTAGTGGAGTCTTTAAAATATGAAACCAACCAAGTTTAGACTGAAATCTCTCCTAGTCCCATTTATGTTCCTGCCCAGACCTGGGCATTATTCATTGCTCCAAGAATCTTTAAATTGCATTCAAATGAAGACCATCTGTCCCGCAAGTTTAACCTACTGACCAGTGTTCTCAAAAATTGTTTGAAAGGTGAGGTCTGATGCCTTATTCTAAGACCACCTCAGACTGAGTCAATCAACTCACTACCAACTTCAAACAGCTTTTCAGTGTTCCCTTTGACTTGGAGCAGTGTTGGCCAAGATTAAAGTCATTTAGACATCATAAATATAGATTCTGGTTATTACTCTAAGGGTCATCTTTATGGAAAGAAAACATGCAAGCAAGGGGTTTACAGTTCAAGCCAATGCAAATTGGAATTTGTATAAAAAAAACTGTGAGAGCATTTTTAAATCAAATTGCTGTAAGTCAAGAACTATTTATACTAAAACTCAATTTTATGGAGTATAAAGAAAAATTTTACTAAGTATAGTGACATATGATTTATATAATTTTTATATTATATGTATGTGTTCCAAGCTGAAATGTGCCCCTCCAAAATTCATATTTTGAAGTCCTAACCCCCAGGACCTCAGAATGTGACTGTATTTGGAGATAAGGCCTTTAAAGAGGTAATTAAGCTAAAGCAAGGTCGTGAGTACAGACACAGACATAAGCAGGAAAACCATGTGAAGACACAGGCAGAATATGACCATTCACAAGCCAAGGAAAAAGGCCTCAGGAGAAACCAATCCCACTGACACTTGGTCTCAGAGCTCTAGCCTCTAGAACTCTAAGAAAATTAATTTCTGTTGTTTAAGCCTCCCAGTCTATGATACTTTATTATGCCACCTGACAATTATGAAAAGTTGAACATCCTCTCAAAGATTCTTGCAAGTTCTTAGAGACAAATGTCCTTCTAGGGTCAACCTCTTGCCTCTCCTGAATTACTTCAGTTCAGAAGTCATTCCACAATCTCCAACTTTTGTGGTCCCTGTCCGGTGCTAACCTAGGGTGGATCTCAGCTCTTTCCATTAATTTCCATCAAAATAAACGAACATAAAGTAAAATGCTAACAACATCCAAAAACGAAACAAAAATAAGAATTCACATTTACACAAGGTAACTGTGAACATGGCAGACTTTACATTCCAGAAATGCAAAGAACTTAAAATTGAACGTTAGCTATTTGTGCTCTAACACAGTCCCTTAGTCATTCTGACCAGTGAGAGTCTCCCCCGCTTTCCCTCCTCCCCTCCTTTCCCCCCTACTCTGGCTCCTCTCCCCTATTCTCTCTCGTACACACCCTGACCTCCACTCTGTTCTTGGCTCTCCCCTCATCCCCGGAAGTTTGGCTATCACTTTTTGTGCATTGTGTTCATGTTCTCAGGATCCCCAATCTACCTGAAAGAGCTAATCAAACTATTTCCTCAAGTATAGAAAGTCCCCTTTCTCAGAGAAAACCTGGAGCCAGCTGTTAAAGTTATCCAGTTTTATCCCTGCTACATTATATTCAGCTAAATAACTGAAAGGAATGAGGTAATTTTCCAAGTTGTTTTTTTTCTCCACCTTGACGCAAAAATAATTAACATCAGTCATTTAAAATCATCTAATATTAATACGGTACCCTTTTATATGAACTGTAAGTGGACTCAGATCTAAAATCTCCATTAAACCTCTTGGAAATGATTTTAAAAATTTTCAGTCTCATTGGAATATTGCTCACACATATGAACTCTGAATCTTATTTTTTAAATAGTCAACTGTTGCATTCAGCAAATGATAGAAACTATGATTTCAAAATGGAGGATTTAAAAACTAAGAAGCTTCTACATGTTCCACCTCCCATAAGGAACATCGGGAAGGAGGCTTAGTTTGCCTTTATTCAAAAGATCTTCTACACAATTAATGTGTTGATGTAGATTGCCTAGTTGAAGACTGTCAGTTTATGGTTTGAGGAAGTAAACGAAAATAAATTCTGGTTCAAAATCACTTCTTAGGAAACAGGCTGCTACTGCCACCTGGGGGAAATTCTTTCTGCTTCATTCAAAAAAAAGGCAATGTGTTTGTCAGATGAAAGCATCCGGTTCATGTTTTCCTTGTCATATCCACACAGGAAGAAGACTTTTTAACTTTCTGCCCATGAAATCATAAGGCATTCCAGATGTCTCCAAGATTCCTTCACACAGAAATACATACTTCACAGACGTTTTGAGAGGTATAGGAGGAGATGAACCAGAATATAACCATATAAAGGTGTTTACATCTTATATACAAGAAAGTATTTTGGGAAGTATGTGTTATATACTAGGAAGTGAAAAAAAATCAAATTCATGCTTTCAATAACAAAATAAAACCCCTATTTTTACGCAAAATTTGTTTGGCTTCAAGTTATATTTAATTGTTTTAATTGTACTCCTTAAATATGCTATCATCAATTGATATGGAAAATGCCTGTGTTGGTATACTCATGCTAGTGATTCCATCAATTAAGATAATAAATTTCAATTGTATGGAAATAGTCAAGAGTGTTTTCTTAGAGACTTTATGAATTTATGAATTAAATGTTGCTGTGAAGTCAATATATATATATATATTTATTTCATGTATATTACATATCTATTTGTTGAAACTTTCATAAAGTAGTGATATGGTATTCATCAATTACAATGGAAAAAAATGTGACCATTGCTTTTGAAAGTCTAGTTTCTGTTGAACATTTGCCAATATTGCATAACTTTCTCTTATAGATAAATTGTTATCTAGCAATGTCCTAAAACAAAGAATTGAATCCTATAAATAGACATTTCAGGAAGTACCTAATGAAATTACAGGTCTTTCAGGTGACATAAAAAAATTAGTGCTGATTAGAGAACGACAATTAATCATTTATGTAGAGCATTCTGGTAACAGATTAACTAAATAAGACACATACAATATCAGCCTCAGACTTGTAGAATATCAAAAAGCTAAAGTTCACACCAAAGAATAACTGTACAAGCTTGAGGGGAGTCTGTGGGAAGAGCATTTTTAACATTAGAAAAGGTTCATGACATACAGCATATGGACTGGGATTTCATAATTTACAAAAAAAAAAAAATCATTCGTGTGATTCAGGGGTAAAAATAAATCTGAGTGACTAAGGTGCAACCAACACAGCTGAATGAGGTAGGTGAGCTGGGGTCACCTTGAAGGACTCCAGAAATGAGTATTTTATATGGGGGTATGAGGTTTTTTCAAAGTGTTCACGTTAGGGTGTGGGGAGATTGGGGTGGGGTGTGTTAGAGGACAAGGAAGGCCAGAGGTGCATGAAACTATATAATAGAAGCACAGTGATAAGCAAAAGTAACAAGTATGCAATATTAAATGTTTTTATTTCTGAATTAGTAGTTGAGCACTTTCAGAAATTGGCCAGTAGCACTGCCTTAATGATCGAATGAAAATGATCGATGACCTCATTATGCTATAAGCAGCTTATGTTCTGCACAAAGGATCAACTACAATTCTGGGGTGTTAAAAATAGAAGAGTCTCCCGGGGTTCTCCTTCCTCCTAACTGAGCTGCACGACATATTGGAATTTACTTTCCTTATTCCCGAGCCAATACTTTACATTGTAGGCCAAAGAGATGATTTATTAATTATTTCAAAACAGAAATTATAAATAATTCTCATTTTCATTTTTTTTTCATTTTTAGGTGGGGCAACCCTTGGTTGACCTCAAAGACTGCAAGGATCTTGTCAGTTTACAATCCCTTATTTTTTATTTTTTTTACATTTACAGCACATACTCTTCCTAGGTGATCTCCCATCCAAGTACCAACCAGGCTCGACCCTGCTTAGCTTCTGAGATCAGACAGGATCTGGCTTGTTCAGGGTGGCATGGCTGTAGACTAAGTAGTTCTCATTTTCATTAGACTGTTACCTGGTTGTAAAACAAAAACAAAAACAAAAACAAGAAACAAAAAACAAACAAACAAAAATCAGTAAATAGAAACAGAAGCCTTCTTTAACATTATTTATTTATATTTCATAGGAGAGAAGCATTCAGGAAGTCAGAATAGAAGACTTTTTGCAGATGCCACTTGCGTATTCAAGTGGAATGGAGGCAGGAGATGGGACATTGTTTAAAATGTAGGAAGGGCTGTTTCTCTCACTGTTCTTTTTCTGTTCCTACTTCTCCTCCGAGGGTGAATAATGTTCAGGTACTGCTGCTAACTTTGAACTCAGGAACTCAGCATCCATTCCTAAACCAACTGACCTACCACACTGATAAGTTAACATATTCCTTCTAAATATGGTTTACATTATCTTCATGTAATGTTTTTTTTTTCTTTCATTTTCCTGCAATTCTTGCTTCCTCTTCTCTTTCTTATCTGTATTTGACATCTCTCTTCTCTTCCATTGCAAACTACTGATATTATTTCAATCTTCCCTCTGTCACTGGGGTGTCTCCCCTTTAGTGAAAGACTCCTCTACAATTAGTCACTATGAATGAGGGGGAAGCACATTAACGGTACTGCTGGAATGTTCCAGGCCAGGTAAGAAGCTTTACATGAGGCGAACAAGGAAGCCTACTTGCTTATGCTGAGCTTTTGTTTATCCACAGCCATGATGGACTCCAAACAGATGATCATCACCTTGGCTCTCTTTGGCATGACTCAGAGTGGACAAAGTTATGCTGGGAACATGCTTCTGGGAAGCACTGACTTTCATAGCAGCTTTGCTCCATGTTCTGTGACCAAAAATTATAGTCTGGGCTGCAGTTGGCTTCACGTGTCAAGGAGGGCAAGATATAATCCTGCAGGTCCAGGTGCTGGACACTCCAGGTTATCCACACAGCAGGCTGAGCAACAAGCATGCGAAACAGGAGGCCAAGAAGGCCCTGGCACATCACTTTGCACAAGAGGGTTTCCATCTTGCACTGCTGGTTCAGAGAGCAGACATGCATGCCTCTTTGTGAACAGGAGGTGTCTTCTCCAGTCCAGGTGATCCAGGTAATACAAAGAGGCTATTACACTAATGCCATTATTCCCATTTGGAGGACATTCCTAATAGAAAATTATCCTAATGGAAAATAACTATGAAAAGCTGGTTAAAAGAGTAGTCGAAAGCATGTTTAAAACAAGTGCTAGTCACATAGAAATAGTTGGTAAAAATTACTTAATTTTCCCATGACGAATCATTTTTACAAGTTTTTTAGAGGAATTTAGTCAGTCATTTTATAACTAAGTCATTGAAAAAAATAAGATACTAAACTTTTGAGGTTAACTAAGTCTCAAACTCTTAAGAACCGTAAACCTGAATAAGTTTGTAAATGTGGTCCCCAGATTATCTGCATCAGAATAAACTAGGCTTCTTAAAAGTGAAGATTCATCCAAGCCCTACTGAAACAGTCTCAAGAGCAGAGCCTACATATCTGCATTTGCATTAACTTTCCATATATTTCTTAAAAAGTCAAGTTCTAGAACCACTGAACTAAAATACTGACTTGCATCCATTCAACATTAAGGAGACAATCTCTTATAGTTCGCCAATACCGATTCAGTCATTGATCACTACATTGAAAATCTGCACAGAGCTTAGTGATTGGTGAATAATATTTGAGTCCTGACATCAAAAAGCTTGAGTCTAAAAGAAACAAATAGATCAACAAGTATAAGACAATGCATTAAGTGGCAAAGTAGTGTGATATATGACCGGGGGAAAGGAGACAGCACTGTAACTTACATCATGATAAACATTCAAGAGAGATCCATGCTTTATTTATAAGAAAGGAATCAGGAATTTCAGATGCTTTGCTTGTCTCATCAGCTGTAGAGTGAGAAAGTGCTCCATTCTAGCCATGAGAAGACCACCGGGACCTGTGCTACCTTTGTCTAGTGATCCATCCCTGTTGTCTGTTCATTTACTTTAAGTCGTTGAGTTGGAGGCTTATGCAGCTAGTCTAGAAGAGAAGCTGAGGAGAGGGGAGAGGTCCAGGTATGGCCACAGCTAAGAGATGGAGAAAGTAATACCTACATACAGTATATATACATATATGAGCAAGGCCCACGTATGATCAACAATTCCTGGAAACTACTCATTAAGCTGCTCCATTTTATTCAATTTCTTGATTCTCTAGTCTGGGGCCACCCAAATTTAACTGCTGGACTTGACTAGTATTACTCTGTAGCCTCGTTAAATCACTGAGCTCAGAGAACTCATCTCTACTAGAAGCTTCATAGGTAAGTAAACTACAAGGAGAATAGAGAACAAACATTTTTCATGCAAAAGAATTTGTATAAATACTACTCTTCTTTGGGTCCAATCTCTGATCATGCTGATGCAGGATCTGTTATACTTGGAAAGACAGTGTACTTTGCTTTAAAGAAAGATGTGTTTTCCTTTCATTAGTAAAGGCATAAGATTGCTCTAAATGACAGACACACATTTTATTTTTCAGTAATTGTGCATGTTTCTAAAAATGAAAAAAAAAACAAAACAAACGTGTAATCATAAGAAACTAGTGGAAAAAATTAGGATGACAAGAGTATAAAAAATAATCCTCATCACCAACTCCTGAAAAATCAAGGACATGCTGTACAAAAACAAAGAAAAAGAGATGATTGCAATTAAGAAACAATGTGGAATCTAAGAAAGTCCATAAACCTTCCCCAAACTATTAAAGCCTACATTTCAAACAATATTTCTGGTGAGAAATCAAGGAAAACATGTAGATTTCCATCAGTATAATTTTTAAATAGTTTTAAAAATTCATTTAAAGCTACTATTAAATAAACATTTAGGTTAAGCTATAGATGAATGTAATTCAGTAAATTCAGTAAACGCATAAACAAATATTTCCAAAACTAACCTGACTTTCTTTTGTCTCTAAATTTTTCTCTATGCTGGTCCTGTGCAGAGCCAAAAAGGGAATGTAAAAGACATCATTTTGAAAATAGATTTTTCCAGTTTTAAGATTTAGAACAATATTGCAATTTCCTAATTTTTTGTTATAGAAATGTGAATTCGATTCATATATGTCTCCGATCTTTTTAAATGGTATCTGGCATACAGCTTTCTCTTAAGGCTGCCTTCCTTAGGTCAATGTCCAATTCAGGAGTTGAAGGCAATGAGAAGATGGGCTAGGGCAAACTCAGATCTATAATTTTTTTTTTTTTTTTTTTGCAGTGCAAATAACTTCTCTGCAAAGAGAACTCAGCGGCCAAGGCTTAGTAATCCTGAGGGGCGCAAAACCCCAGGGAGGCACTGCAGTCCTATTTTGGGCTTCCACTATGACCTTTGGTTGAAGATCACCTAAGCACAGGCTGGCTGTTTATGACCTTCTTCCTGAAGGTGACTCAGATACTGGTGGCAGCTATCTGGATGTTCTCACAGACTGGGAGCAGCTGCAGAATGTCTGAATATTCAACAGGACCCGCAGCTGTTAGGAAGGAGCAAGGGGTTGTTAAAGTCCTCTTGTTGCAGACACACCCTGGATTTTTTTTCCCCCTGGCTCGTGCAAAATGGGAAACAGAACATCTGCCTTCATCCTCTTCCTTTCCGCTTTTCTGGGGGCACTGACGCCTGCCATGGAAGGAGTCTGTAAGGTCAATGCTAGACAAGTGACCTCTTCTTTCCTGTACCTCCCTGTTGTCTCTAAATATCTCTCTCAATTTGTGCTCTAATATTTTACAGAGAGACATTAGAGGCTGCCAGCTGTGACAACTGAAACTCTTCCCTACGTGATCCTTTTTTTCTTTATTTATGTTAGGCCTTCATTAATTTACAACAAAATGGTAGAGATGTCAGTGAGTCATCTCCCTCAAATTGGGAAATAAAGGGAATGATTCATCTGAATGTTATCTGAATGCCATTCGAATGTTTAAAAAATCCACAAATGGATCAGAGCAGATATAATAAAGTCACCTTAAGAAAGTGCTAGCATGCAGCCAAACGACACTAAGAATTGAATCCAGGAATTGACGAAAGTCCGTATTCTTTCTACTATCATGGTATCATGTATTTTTACTGTATACAATGAGGCTTCAAACATGTAGTTTTTGAGTTAGAATAAACAACTTAACTGTTGATGTTATAGGTGGATGTGTATCCAAAAGACTCAGAAAGGCCAATACAAGGCCTGAAAATACTAAACAAAGATCATCAGCAGCTTAGTTGTTTGACAGAATTTAGTTGAAAAATAAGCCTTGTTACAATTCTAGGTATATGACTCTAAATGTTACTAAGACTTTCTTGGCTTCAGTTCCTCACTTATAAAATAGAGATAATTTTACTTATGTAAAAGAGTCCTGAGGGTTATATTTAATAAATGTAATATTGTACATGACTTATGGTGGATTCACAGTGGGTTCACAGAAAATTACTGTTATTGTTATTGTTTTTATTGTTATCATCCCTACCCAGATTGTGATGAGTACCATTCAAATGACCTACTAGACATAATAACATATTACAGAGGTTAAGAGCATGGGTTCTGGAGTAAGTTATACCTGTGTTCAAGTCTCTACTTAGCAACTTACTTGCTTTGTGACCTTGGGTGAGTAACTTCAATCTCTTTGTTGGCTAATTGGGAAAGATAATAATGTCTACTGGGTTACTTTTTGGATTAATGCCATATTCACATAATAGTAAATTAACTCAGGCATTGGCACATGACAAGCACATTAACACTAAATATTTGCTATAGTCATTATTACTTTATTGTTAGAATTTGTCTTATCCTAAAATTAGGACATATTATTTATAGCCTTCTTTGGGATTATTTTGCTAGTCTTCAGAAGAGAGTAAGAGTGAAATCTAACTTACATGGCCCCGATTTACATTTATAACTATAAATATTTCCTTGTTAATTTAGAAAAAAATCTGGGAAGAAAATTCCCTGGCTTAGTAAAGTTAAACTGAGAAGCCCAAATTTAGTAGGAAGGACATGGGCCTGGCAGTCTAGGGACCTCGGTTACAGGCCCAGGCCTGCCAACAATCAGCTAGCTATGTGACTTTGGCCAAGCCATTTAACATCACAAGGCCTCAATATCATCATCTGTAAAATAAGGCAATTTGGACAGATGATCTCTAAGTTTGAAAATTCTGTGAATCTGATCTAACGAGGCTTTATCATTCAGCTTTGGCTGTCTGAGAAGGAAAATGTGGTGCTTTAAGTGGGAAGAGAGTAAGGGAATAGTGTAAAATATAAAGAATGGTCCTTATTGTCCTCCTGCTCCATGATAATTTTTTTTTCTCAGTTGATGTAATAGTTGGCTTTTTTTAAGTTTCCCCCTAAAAAGTCCAGATGCTATGATTTCATCAACCACAAACAAATGGGGCAGGGCTGGTGAGGTCCTGGGAAAATGAACATAATTCCTGGAAAACAAAGTTTATATCCTAACTAGTTGTCCCAAAAGGACTAGATGGACTCATACCCATTAGCAGTCTGAAACCAAACAATTCATGATTGATTGTAAATTTTCCATCTAGCTTAGTACTGTATTTAAATTATTAACACCAGATAACTTACATTAACTTATCTTGTTCTTGGATTTTTATGTGAGGTATCAATCAACTGTGATTATTCTTTCTCTGGGTCTATAGAGAACACGTTTGGCCACTAACATGATGACTATACACCAAGCGACACAACTTTCAAATATTCAACTATTTTCCGGCCAAAAATCAATCTAAAGATTATAAGCTAAATCAACCATTCTCTTCTATTTTTGGCAGTTATTCAAAAGTGCAATTTCTCTCACAGTTCAGAACATGAGCATCCTTTCATAAATAATTATCAACATGTAAAAACTTCTTAATGGCTGAACACATGGACTAGTAAGTGGTGTTGAGCTTACAAATCTATTACCCTTAAGTGCTTAATTTTCCCTGAATCATATTATGCTTTAAAGTGTATGTTGGAGATATACAGAGAATGTATTACTGCTACAATATAGAAAACCAGGAAGTAAAGACATATTGTGAAAGTTATATCAATAAAGCAATAAGTACTAACCTAGCAAGAGAAGAATTCTACGTTAAAATATACAACTCAGGGAAGGACCACTTGAGCCAAACCGTTTATTTTGCACAA